CCAACAGAGAACGATTTAAAGGTAATATACTCCTTCTACAAGTTTCCCCTCACCCTGAAAGCATGACTAAAGAAACTCATCTTGTATTTGCTTTCATTCATGCCCTTGTTGCCATTGTCTGATACTGTCCTCTCCTTTGGATGGCCGGTTACATTACTCTGCTGTTTCTCAGGGAGCCCTTGCAAGGACTGTTACCCTGGTCCTTATGCTGAGCTCATGTCTCTTGTTTCTCTGTTCTACACACTTATGCAGAAAAAATTCTAAAAATTGACTTTCTGCAATGGATGAGAACATGCCCAGGCACACGCTCACAGGCAAACACTACAGTGCTGAGCTGCAACCCTACTGCAGATGAACCCCTACAAGCATCCTTCTATTCTCAGTACTTTCTAGGCCCAAAACTCCTTCAGTTTCCTGTCTTCAAAATAACACCGAGATCTTTGACCTAATATTTAAGGCCTATTCAATCTGGCTGTAACCTAATGTTTCAAACTTACTTTGCCTTACTTGTCTCTCATAAACTCAGTGCTCTATCACAGTAGATCTACCAACAATTTTGCTCCCAACAGACATCTGGCAATGCTTGAAGCTAAGCTTCATCATCAACTTGACTGGATTTAAATTCACCTAGGAGACCCACCTCTAGGTAACTTTGTGTGTGTGTGTGTGTGTGTGTGTGTGTGTGTGTGTGTGTTTTCCAAAGAGGATTACCTGAAGACAGAAAATTGATTTCCAAATGTGTGATACTATCCCACTGGTGTGGGGGAGTCAGACTGAATAAGAGTGGGAAAAGGAGGCCAGGTGAAATGATTAGTTCCCTTTCTCTGTAGACCACAAAGATGTGAGCAACTTTCTACCACCAGCTGTGAGCTGCTTCTGCTTGCTGATTCTCTGCTACAGTAGCCTATATCCTAAGCCAGCAGCCAAAGAAATCCTTTCCTCATTAAGTTGACTTTGTTGTTGTTTTTAAAGTATTTACTTGCTTTTCAAGACAGGGTTTCTCTGTAGCCCCAGCTGGCCTGGAACTCCCTATTTATGACTTTGATCCCAAAGAGCTTCACCTGCTTCTGCCTCGAGTATTGGGGGAAAAAGCATGTATCACCACATCCAGCCCTTTAAGATTTATTTTTATTCATGAGTGTATGTGTCTGAGTGTATGCCATGTGTGTGGGTACCCTTAGAGCTGGAGATACAGGCAGTTGTGAGCTGCTTGATGTAGGTGCTAGGAACAGAACTTGGGTCCCCTGGAAGAGCAGCAAGTGCTCTTAATCCCTGAGCCATCTTTCCAGCTCATTAAGTTGCTCCTTGTCAAGTATTTAATCATAGTGTTTAGGAAAGTAACTAATATAGGAAACTGGTACTGACCAGAGGAGCTGTTGTGATGAACCAGACCATGTGGTTCATAGGCCTTCTGAACTGGTGTGAGGGACAAATGTTGGAGTGTTTGGAGTTATGGGCTAGACAATTTCTAGAAGTCATTAAGGTTAGTGAAGCAGAGCTTATGGGCCATTCTGGTGGGCGTTCAGAAGACTGCAATGCCAACAGAATTGCAAACAGTAATGACAGTGCTCATTAGGTTTCAGAGAGGAACAAAGATTCTGACAGAGGCTCTTCTGTTATACTGCTGGCAAAGAAACTGGTTGTGCTTCACCTGTGTTCTGAAAAGCTGAGTGTGGCTAAACTTGAAAGGAATGGACTAAGTGGTTTGGAAAAGTTAATTTCAAGACAACACAACTTCCAGGCAGTGGCATGGTTACTGCTTACTGTACTTACTCAGATTTACAGTATGAGAGTGGAGATATGGAAAGTTCATGGCAAGAACGGGTGAGAGTGGAGATGTGGAAACAGTTCATGGTAAGGATGAGTGAGAGTAAAGATGTGGAAACGGTTCATGGCAAGGATGAGTGTGAATCTGGCTAAAGTCATAAACAGGCATATGCACTTTGGCCAGCAAGGAAACTTAAACCTGGATAAAGTTAAGGACAGTGCTGAAGAGTTATGTTCAGAAGTTAACTATAAATGACTAGTCATCCACTAAGTGATTATAAAAATACACTGCACCTTTTTGGAGATTCCAAGGAGCCCTCAACCTCCAGAGAAGGGTTAAATGTTGACTTGATCACCAGCGACAAGTGTGCTTTTGAAATGAAACTGACAAACCTGCTGATAGGTGAACCAGTATGAGCGTCCATGAAGGAACAAAACACATCTACAGAATTAGAAATTGTATAGCAGGAAGTGGAACATTAGACCAAATGTATACACCATAGTATTTTAATATTTTAAAAAATGTTACGTGTATGAGTGTATTGCCTACATGTATGTAAGCACACCCATGTCAGGAAATGCCCAGGGAGGCCAGATGAGGGCATTGGCTCCCCTAGAACTAGAATTACAGTTGTTAGTCACCATGTGGGTGCTGGGAACTGAACCCAGATTCTCTGGAAGAGCAGCCAGTGCTCTTAACCACTGTGCCATCGCTCCAGCCCCTAATATCTTACTTTAAATGGAGAGTTTACCACCTGTTGATCAGTTCAAAGCATACCACGATATTAATAACAAAACACAAAAATTTTATTTGGGCAAGAGAAGGGGCGTTGTTAGGAATTCCAATTCAGAAGATAGAATCAGATGGCTGTCAATCAGTGTTCCAAGGAAGGTAGAAAAAAGTGAGAGCTTACAGGGGATACTGAATGTTAACAACAGGAGATATGTGACACAGGAGGTAAAGGAAAGCATGTATAAACAGACTGGAAATGTCCGTAAAGCAAGTCTGATGGTCTCTTGATACACACGAGCTTGTGGGCACAGTGTAATTTTCTGGAGGTTCCTATGCCTGTGGTTAGAGTGGAGATGAGCACATTTCAGGGAGTAGCCGGGACCATTGTGTTTAATAACTTCCCACACTGCACTTCAAAAAATTTTCTGCTTCTTTCATTGCAATATTCCTTCTTTTTTCAGTCAATCCTTTAATACTGCTGTTAAATATTTTAAATTAGGGATTAAAATTTATGAAAGTTCTCAATATAATCAATCATATGATTTTCACTACATTTCTACTACTAACTTTTCTTATGAGGTAATGGCTTATCAATGCACATTTCTTGGATTTTGAATATCAATATCTACAATTATTTAGGAAGCTCTACCATCATTTCTAATTTCATTGATGTATGTTACTGGCTCCATTCTTGAGACCAGTATAGAGAGCAGTACTTAGGGATAAGCTAGTGGGTACCTTGCAAATGCAAAGTCCCTGATCGCAGTGATTGGATAAGTGGGCACTTGACCCATTTAGAACCAAAGATTCACAACAAGCATTTGCTGTGACTTGGGTCTAAAGAGTGTCACTTCCATAGGGTGAGAACTCAAACTATGTAGCCAACTGAGAGATGGAGCTTAGCAGTTGCGAAAGAACATGGGCCTTGATAGCATCTAGTCCTAGCTAGCAATGCTCAAACTCAGGTTTATGTTTGGACTTCTTGGTAATGTAAGTCATTATGGATTCTTTTTGCCTAAATCCATTTAGGTCAGATTTTTCTGTCATTTGCCCTCAGAAGTGGGCTGACTTCATGGTGAATCTTTTGCTTTATTGTGGAACTATACTCCATACTTTATTCTAGATTTTTACATCTGAGCTTAGTGAAAAGCTTTTTTATTTCATTCCAAAATAGTTTAGTGATTCCTCAAAACTACATATTTATGGAAAAAAATAAGAGAAAAAAATGATTTTTTTTGATATCAAGAAGGGAAGATGAAAATATATTTGCAGGAACTCTGAATCCAAAAATGTCCACAATTTCTACATACCCAAGCTACAACTCTTTTATTCTACATGGAGAGGAAGTGTCCTGTAATATAGTTTTAGGCCATTTAAATTTCTCTCTGGAAAACTGCATTCTGGCAAAGGGCTCAGCATCACAGGGCTGGTACTGGGAATCACAGAGCTTTGAACATACTAGTGTTACCAGAGTCTTACTCTGGTCTCCCTGGCCTTTGGGAGTCTCCATTGAAAGAAATTCAGAGACACATAGAATATAGTGTAGAACACAGGCAAAGTTTATTAAAGGTAAAGAGAAATACTCTTAAGGGTAAGATGGACATGGCCAAAGGGGCCACAAAGATGGGGAGGAAAATACTCTTGAGGTGAGAGTGAGCACTGGCCAGAAAGACCATTGTGTTGACCTACATTTTTAGGTAGGCGTTATCCTATTTCTTAGAGTCCCTAGAACACACAGCTTTCTGGAGGGGCATTTTCTTTTCTTCTCTGGATTAACTCTTAAAGGAGGAAGCCATGGCGTTTTGTTCTTTATCAGAAACCCTCACCGGACAGTAGCCTTAGGATTTTTTGAGCATTTCAGAATGTCATGTTTCTACCCCAAACAGAGATATGACTTGGATTCCATTCTTTTACTACTAAAAGTGCTAAAGTTTAAGTTCCTGATTTTACAAGCTGCTGATTATGAAAGAAAGCCTCATCCCAATGATCCTTAAATGTCATTAGATACCTAACACTAGGTAACAGCTCTACTCCTGAGCTATACAGCATTTTTGATGTAGGATTTCCATGTGCAAGCTTTCTTTTCCTTCCTTTTTTTGTCTGTCTCTTAAGTCTGCCTTCCTTCCTTTCCTCCTTCCCTCCCTCCCTCCCCTCTTTCTCTACTGGGAACAGAATGCAGGAACTCATGCATATTAAAATTTAAATTCAGTCAAAAGTAATCTCAGCACTTGGAAGGCTAAGGTAGGAAGCAGATCACCAAGAGTTCAAGGCCAGTCTGGTCTGGGCTATAGAGTAAGTTCCAGACCAGTCTCAGCTACATAGTGAGAACTGTCTCAAAAAAAACAACAGCCAATAGTTCCTCAGCTAAGGTTGGAGCTTCTTACCCATTTCCCCAGGTCTATGCTGGGTTTTTGTCTGGTCTGAGTTTGTATGGGTCTTGAGCTATCATTGCTTTAAGTTCATATGAGCAAGTTCCCAGCTGCCTGGAATAGTGTTTCCTCATTGTCATCCACCACCCCTAGCTCTTACAGTTTTTCCACCCCTTTTTCCACAATGGTCCCCGAGCCCTGACTTGATAGGCCTTAACATATATGACAGAGCACATGAAATCTGGTGGGGGTGACTATGAGAGGGTGAAGACAGGAGAAGGGGGTCTAAGAATGATTAAGATGTATAAAATACACACAAATTCATTAAAAATATATACTATTCAAATGAAAAAAATATTTAAATGAAACAAAACACATCAAACCAATATAAAAAAAGAGAAAACCCCACATAACCCTAGCCAAAACAACAACTAAATTTAGCCAGACCTAACTGAAATTAGTTAAATACTGGTAAGAAAAAAAATTTTGTGTATGGGCTACACGTGTGATTGGGTATGTATGCACATGCATGTGGAAGCCAGAGGTTGAGATCAAGTGTTTTGCTCAAACACTTTCCACCTTCCTTTATGAGGCAAGGTCCCTCACATAAGTGGATTTAGCTAGATTGGCCCTAGGGATCCTCCTCATCCCCATATCTCCAGTGTAGGGATTACAGGTGCACTGCGGTGCTTTTATAAAGCAATGCAGGTAATGGACATCTAAACTCAGTTCCTCAGACTTATATGGAAAGGACTTCACCAACTTAGCCATTTCCCCAGACCAAATGTGTGCTAAAATTAAATTCAAATATTTGGTGAGATATGCAAAACATGTTAATACAAATATTTTTTATCTTGTAACTTATTATGTTTATTTTCTGCCTCTTAAAATAAAGTCTTAACCACTTTACCTAAATATAAAATCTAAAACTAATCTAAAAAACAAAAACAAATTCAGATCAAATATAAACTAGAAGTTTGGAGAACAAAAGTCTGAAAAATAAAAATTTGTGAAGAAAAAAATAATGTGTAAACAGGATTACTTTGTTTAAATTATAAGAAAAGTAAGAACTTAATAAGGTAAATTTATTGTAATTTGTTCTGTGTGGTAGGCCATCACCTAAGTGGTCCTATGAACTACGGCTTCTGCTTTCTCTCTAGACTTGGCTGTGAGACTTGCTTTGTCCAGTGGAACATTAGCAAATACGATGAAGTCCAGGTTTGGTCAACTCTTGCACACTAAAGTTTGCCTCTTAGAATGTGTCTCTATCATGCAAGAAACCCAGTTTAGCCTACTAGAGGAGAGGTCATGTGGCGTACAGAGGGCCAACTGACAGAACCCTGAAGAACTACAAACCTCGTTTTATTTGTTTTAAAACAAGGTCTTGCTATGTTGCCCAGGCTGGCCTTGAACTGGTGATGCTCCAGCCTTACCCTCCCAAGTGCTGGCATAAACATTGTTTTAAACACCTGAGTTTCGTGGTATTTTTTAATGCACCAATGAAAAACACAAAACTTTCTCATCTATGTGGCAAAGCAAATTAATCAATCTACGCTTACTATGAAAAGCAATTAAAGTTTCTGAGCAAACATTAAGACTATCAGAACTGCTGTACTTTTGCAACTCTTGACGTAGGCTCATAGTATCTCTTTATGTAGACTTCAGTCCATGTGCATATTATTAAAATAATATTTTACTGCTACCCTAAAAACATTCTATATAGAATGGACAAAGCACATGGTATTTTTATTTTTAAACACTGAACTAACTGTACATGTTTCATATAAAATATGAGATTCTATCCTTAGGTTTTAAAAATAACTATATTTGTCAATAAAATCTTCATTTTTTTATAGAAGTCTATGCTCTCTAAATCTACATTTTCATCCATCCCACAGCTTTTATAGATTCATAATCTCTTGAATGCATTTCCAATATGCTTTAAACATAAAAATTCATAAAAGATATTTTTATTTAACACATTAAAACCTAACAGGTTACAGTAAACTGCTTAGCCCGCCAGGTACTGCTGGATACTTTTCCAATACTCAGAAGCTGAATGTTGGTAGAATTAATTCTCTGTATTTACTTTTATTAAAAAGAGGTTTTTGGTAGTGAGAACAAACAATCTCTCATTTGTTGCCTGAAAACCTAAAATAGGATCATTGGTTTCTAGGTTTGCTACCTGCTGCTTAGCAACCTGCCCTACATGCCTGCCTTCCTTTCTGTTATAAAGCACGGTGGACATGGGAGTAGGCTGACGATAGATGAACACTCGGCGGAGGCACTCACAAAGGGCTGCATAGGAGTGATCTGGAGCACAGGCAAAGAATTTTTTGTCTCTCTTTGATGCTTGGACATAACCTGCCAAGAATAAGAGACAAAAACAAAAAGAAAAGAAGTATATATTAAACTGAAGAGAGAAAATCATGAATTAACACTTATATTTCATAGTATCTATTGCAAATTAACTAAGTAAGATATAGACCATAAATATTCATCAATATATGAATTCAGAACCATTGACAGTGAGCCATAGTTTCTTCCCAGACGTGCAAATGAACAACTTTAATTTGGAACAAAATAGGGCTTCATATCTTCAACAAAAGGACAATGCAGCTTTATTTAATTTTCATGAATTAAAATAATAAAAATTCAAAAATTTAAACTACATGCTCAAGTCTTTGGGGCGGGGCTAGAGAGATGGCTCAGCAGTTAAGAGCACTGACTGCTCTTGCAGGGGACCTGGGTTTGAGTCCCAGCACCCACATGTCGGCTATAAACCATCCTTAATTCCAGTTCCAGGGCAATCTGAAGCCCTCTTCTGACCTCTGCGGCACTGTACAGCACGGGTGCACTCACAAACATGCAGGCAATATACTCATACACATAAAATAAAAATAATAAATAAAAACACTTTAAAAAGATACCTAGCTTACAAAAATTTAGGAAGACAATGAAAACATAACCTCATGTATGAAATTCAGAATAAAGTTTTAAAAATGTTCAACATCTTTACTCAACATGGAAATACAAATTAATACTACATTGAGATTCCTTCTCACTGTAGTCAGAACGGCTGTTACCATGAAAAAAAAAGGACAAAAGATGATAGGCAGAACATGGGCAAAAAGGAACCACTATTACACTGTTGGAGGTAGGGTAAACTTGTATTGTTACTATGGAAACCAGCATGGAGGATCCGTAAAATCCTAAAAAAAATGCTGGGCATGGTAGCGCATGTCTCTAATCCCAGCATCTACACTCAGGAGGCAGTGGTAAGATACATCTCTGTGAATTTTCTAAATTCAGACATGGTTGCTACACATAATATGAGATTGAAAAAAAAAAATGTAACTGAGACCAGGGTCTGGAGAGATGGTTCAGTAGTTAAGAGCACTGGCTGCTTTTCCAGAGGTCCTGGTTTGGATGCCCAGCAACCATGTTGCAGTTAACAACTGTCTGGATTTCCAGTTCCAGGGGATGTGGTGCCCTTTTCTGGTCTCCTCAGGCACTGCATAACACAGGGGCATGCATATATATATATATGTGTGTGTGTGTGTGTGTGTGTGTGTGTGTGTGTGTGTGTGTGTGTCTGTATGTCTGTGTATTTTTTTTTCAGGCAAAGCACTCATGACATAAATAAATAAAAATGTTTCTTAAAAAAGTAATACTAATGGAAACTGGAATTCCATTAAACAATGGATAAGCAAAGTCATGGGGCACAGGCAGGTCAACACTGTATTGTAGTATTAGGTAGGGTTTGAAGAGGGAAAAGTTAAAATGATGAAGGGATCTATTTGAGTAGTTGAGCATTAGCTGTTCAGGGTAACTTTGACAGTAATGTAATGTAGTAATTCAAGAGTACTATCTAATATAAAATTGACATAACTTAGGCTCAAACATAGCAAAATTTGTTTACAAGAGGGTTTTGACATACAATTAAAGGGCGTGAGCATCTAGAAATAACCTAAAAAACTTTGCTCTAACTTAAAGAAGGAAGAGAATTATTAAGTAGCAATTACAGCAGAGGCTAAAAATTGTGTCATTAACATTAATTAGTCCAACAAACCTCTCTGTACTTCAGGTCAAAGAAATCCATTTGGAGTCTGCATTGAGCAGCCTACATTATTAACTACAAGTGATACTTGACAAATTTCCTCATCTATTAGAACTGTTCACATATAAACTTAAAAATACCTAATTTTATGTTTCTGCTGTTGGCTTAAAGTAGGCTTTCAATAAAATAACAAGTGTGGCTAATTCACAAAACTTCTCCCAAACAATACAGACATATTTTGACATAAAACCAATGATTATGTAAGAATAATTATACAGTTTTATTTTTTTCAAGTCTTAGATTTAAAACCAATATTTTTCCTTTTATTCTACTAAATTAATTTATATTTATAACTTTTCATGGCCCTCTTGCTTTCATTTTGTTTGGGTTTTTGAGTCAGAGTCTTGCTATATAACTCAGGCTGGCCTTAAGCTTGTGATCCTCCCGCCTCAGTCACCCAGGCACTGGGAATATGGGTGGGTACCACCAGGTCTGGCTTCTTATGCACTTAAGTTCAATGCAATGTGCCTTCTAATGAAGAATGCACATTCCTTTGCAGCAATTCTATGGTATTTTTGAAGATTACTATGAAAACTAAATACAAGTTCTATGCATGTTAATGTCAAAGCCCTGTTCATAGTGGATTAAAACAAATGATGATTAGAAAGATTCAAATGGTTAATTATCACTTTCATGTCTATTCTTTGTTGATCTGTGCAATCATAAGAACAAGTTCATCTTTCTATTATAAAAGTATTGACCCACTTAGTAGAATATATGCAACCAAGTCATAGTACAAACCAATCTGAATATATCTCAGAGGGCTCAAATTACAAGGAAAACATAAATTTTAAGATGATGGTCCATTTTGGGAGATTGGAAATGTTGGCCGAGGGCTGCTTTCTACCTAGAGCATTGAAGGTCGCCATGTGCTCCCACATGTCCTCCTGCTGGCTGCAGTGGGGCTGCCAGAGCAGGGCATCAACATCATGACGCAGACAAAAGCAGGGCATTTCCTTAGGATCCACAACAACAGAGAAAAGGTACTGGTTGCTGCCAAGATTCACCTAAAGTAACAAAAACCACACTTAGTAAGTTAGTAGTACTGACAAAATCTGACTTATGGAATTATCTGCACCTGCTTTCTTTAACCTATTTTTCCCTCCCTCCCTCCCTCCCTCCCTCCATCTTTCCCTCCTTTCTGAGACAAAGTCACACTACATAGCTCAGGCTGGCCTTGAACTTGCAATTCTCCCGACCCAACCTGGGATTTCAGGCATGTACCACCATGCAGGGCTTGCACTAAACTTTAAAGACCTTATCTGATTGATTATTCACAGAATTCCTGAAAGAAATGTGTTTCTGTTACCCTCATTTTAAAGCTGAGGGAAGTGATGATGCATAGGGCCCCTAACTTGTCCAAGGACAGACTGGTAACAAGTTGTAGACGTGAAGATACAAACATTAAACTTACTAATGTTAACTTGTAAATACTACCAAGAATAATGCTAGCTATAAGAATTTTTTAGCATACTCTAAATGTTATAAATACTAATCTCAACAACTCATGAAGTCATTATCTTCATTTAATATTTGAAAGTCGTGTCTTGAAGAATTTGAGTAATCTGTTCTAGGCTTCAAACAAACCACCCCCCAATACTGTGATTCAAACTCAGATCTATTTACCAATTACTTTAGTGTGTTGCTGAATTATGGTATCAATATCAGTAATACTATGTTAACAATTGCTATTGTAATACTGATGCCTGAAAGAATTTATTTAATATAAAAATCATCCTTTGAGACTGGCATATTCTACTCTGAGGAAAATGAATGGAGATAGGCTGCATCAAAATTCATCAGTCATCTTAATGATTACAGCTTCAAAACCAACAGAAATCATGTAGTATGTAGATGATATAAAACATGCCCAGTACTTGATAAATATTGAATTGATTTTGTAAGTTTTAGAACACAATGAACAACAAAATGTGTGTGTGGGGGGGGGCGGGTAGAGCCCTGACCTGTGATCTGCAGGGAAAGCTGTGAAAGGCTCTCCAGCTTGAGGATTTACTGGTTCAGCAGGGCCAACCCAGGCTTGTTGTCACAACAGAGTCCAATGGCAAGGTAGCCCACCTTATGAGAGTAATGCCCAGGAACAGGGCTCTCAGGCAGGGCCATTGCTTGTTCTCCAAAGAATGGGAACAGGCTGGCATGCACTCAGCATGGATTACTTCTTTCCTTTCGCTCCCGATTGTTGGTGGCTAAGTGAGGCTTATTTCCAGAGTCAACACCAGCTAATAGGCTGTTAAGAAAGACTCTTCAGACCCAGCACTGCTTCAGCCCCCTTCCCTCACCTCCATTTTCTCATTCTCCCTGCACGCCCAGGGCTCTCCCAGAAGGAAAACACTGAGTGATGTGCAAGTTGCAAGAGTGTTTTTTCTAAAAATCTTTACTTTCAGGAGCCAAGTGAGTATTAAGGCTTAATGACAGAACTGACGAATCTCTGGTCGTCCTATGGGTGATGAGACAGCAGCAAGAAAGGAACAGAGGACCATGAAGCATCAACTGAAAGGTTAACCAAGAAAGATCCTCCATGCAAAGAGGATGAGGATAACGGTCTCTCAGTACATGCCTCTTTTCCCCACTTAGAAGCTTTCTCTTCTTGTTTACTTACTTATCCGTACATAACTACACAATTATGTCAAAGTGCTATAGATCACAAGTCCAGCCAGCCATGGTCTGCCCCTTTTGTCCTCATATATCAAATGGGTTCTACTTATTCTTCAAGATTCAGTTTAATCATCAGCTGTTCCCAGAATTCTTACTTTCAAGGTTATACAAGGAAATGATTCTTTTTTTTTTTTTTTTTTTGGGGGTTTTTGGTA